AAAAAAAAAAAAAGGGAGAAATTGAGGGAGCGCGCGCGATCCAGAGAGGAGCACGAAGGGGGCGGGGGAGATAGGGCGGAGGGGGGTAACTGAAGAAGAACGTCTGCGAGGAGCAACACGGAGGGCTAAGACGTTGTCCCGCCAACAGGTGGCAGCGGCCTCACACCCCTCCGGCACCATTCCTCTCCCTCCCCCTTCCCCTATCTCATCCTTCCTGGCAGCAACCACGACGATAACCCGCGGCGACACCCGATAAAACGGGTAGAGAGGGTTGGGAGTCTACGATGCCGGGGTAAGTGGGTCGGGGACGAAGGAGGAAAAGAAAAACACCGGAGGGATTATCGGCCTTGGATACACCACCAGCCCTTCTCGCCGCCCCTCACGCACATCCTTTCTTAACGAAAGCAACTCTCCGACCAGGCCAGCGCATTCGCTCGACGATCCTTGTGCGGGACACGAAGGATTGCGCCTTTCGAGATCGTAACTCGAAGACTTTTCTTTTTTCTTTTCTTTTTCTTGTAACGTGAAAAAAATTTATTTGTCCGGTCGTACGTTGTCCTTTATCGACAAGCGCGAAATAACTCTCTTTTTCGACTTTCTTTAATTATCTGTTTGTTAATTATCACGCGTGACAGGTGTGACGCGCGGTTTCGTCACGCGGAGCGACCGTACGCGACATTTATCAGATGACAAGCTGGCCGCTTTCTCGTCAAGATCCATTTGCCTACGAGGATGTACGGTTGCATTATCGTGTCGTAATGTCAAATACTAACAGTAGTCCGGCAAATGGTATCATTACAGCATCTCATAGTAGACCACTATGCGTTCCCTCGCAACCATATTTCTCCGTTCCGGAACACGAGGCATCGAATGCTCTGGCAAACAGACTAATGCGCCTTAATAAAAGCATCGGCTTACCACGATGTACATCTAATCTCGTAATTATTTCTCTTATTATTATATTTATATTTAGTAGATAATAATGAATCAATCGAGTGATTAGAATGAATCATAATTAGTGAAAACGCGGGCAAGATTAGAGCGATCTCTCTTTCGGTACTATTTCACTCATAAATAGTGTTATCTCTCTCTCTCTCTCTCTCTCTCTTTCTCTCTTTCTCTCTTTTTCTGCTCAAATCCACAATATTCTGTACGTATCGCCGACCGTTACACGTTATTCTCGATGGCGCAATATTTTTCGTAGATCGATATTTCATACGTTTATGTACTATCGCCGGCAGTGTATAAAGCGCATTTTTATCACGTGTTTTGAAGCCAATCCCGATGGGAAAAAAACTTGGTCCGCGAAATCAAAATTTACTATTACATTTATGATAACTCTCGTTCCGTTGTGATGACAATATTAGCAACAATAACCATCTGGATATCGGCATATCCAGCAATATTCATGCACCTTTCGTTTCTCTGTATTTCACCTCCGTGTGTCGCATATCATCGTGATCACGTCCTCACGAACTCACACAGAATCGGGCACTGTTCGCGAGTGATGTATTAATCCTACCTCATCTCCACCACACGGTCGTTAAATTTAATTTGCGCCGTTGTCGAATAAACAAGCGTTTACACATACATTCGCGCGCGATTCGGTTTCCATGAAGGAAACGGGCCGTTTTCGGACGAACCTCTCTCGCGCTTAATCTTGGCGCAGGATCTTCGTGAGATATCTTAAGAGCACGGAATCAATTATCGCGACTTTCACCGCGTGGGCGCGCCGCATCTGGCGTGTCCGGCTCTCCCACGTACGACCACGTGTTCCTCTCGACAGTCCTATCGTACGTGTATGCGTGTGCGCGCGAGAGGGACAGAGAGAGAAAGAGTACACGCACACACACACACACGAAGTGCCGACGATCGCTGGTACATACCGTAACACGGAATTAACGACGACGACGACCGTTAACGGGCCTGAAAGGAATCCCAATGGATATACCCGTAGGTTTCACCCGGATCGCCCACCGATAATCCATGTATTCGCGCGGCGCACCTGAGTTTCCAGAGAAATGTTCGAGATCTGAAGGAGGATCGCAACCGAAGGAAACTGAGAAAATTCGTCGGGGAGAGAGAAAATGTACGCGCGTCGAGCGTTTCGCGCCGCTTTCATCGTGGTTTCGTGTGAAACGTAATAAAAGAAATTTACGATTGAGCATTAACTGTAAATGTTCGACAAAAATCTCTGCATTTCCGGATTTCATAGGCATGCAGCTTCGAAAGAAGCCTACATTGAATTATAATATGGATACATGTACTGTTTTTAAAGTTATGTAGTGGACGGATAGTTTCGAAGATCCCGAAATAGGTTTGTCGTGTCTTGGTTACGGCTTCTGATGAGATAACCCACCGGGATAATCTCATTGTTAGCGTGTTAGCGTAGGTGTTGTAACGACGATAGAGTTTACGTAATCTCCCTCCGATATATGTATACCTTGGTCAAGTCGCACAGGGGAAAATAAAAGAATATTCCGTTTCCGAAACGACACGCAATTTGAACGATCGACCACGCAGTGAGAGCACAACTTACTCACCTCTTGGCTCGGCTTTATACTAATTGAAATTAGTGATAGATGACGAGTGAAAGGATGGACGAAGAATGGAAAGGCAAACTTACTACGGAAATAGGCAAACAAGAAGCTCGCGGCGTTTTCGGCTCGTTGTCGGCGATGACTGGCGAATATCTGTGTCGAGAGCAGCGTGTATACGTGTGCGCGTGTGTGCGTGCGTGTGGAGACACACCCGTGTAAACGAAAGGGCGTCTATAAGCAGTGATAGTTATTACGGTGTCGAGGATGATGATGAGGAATCCTTGCGGTCAACTTCGGGATTCACTCTCGTCGGCGGGATCAACGTTAAACCTCTAATAACGATATCACATTACTGAATGCTTAACCACATGCAACCCAATTTTTTTCCGCGTTTGTAAATACTTACAAGCATTTATATATTATCTCTGAAAGAGATTCCGGACATGGGTAAAATAATGTGCAACAATTTTAGATCCCCTTTAGACGTTTATATTTTTAAAAACGCATCAGTAAGATATGGTTCAAAAATGCAATATTGCATAGTGCCTTTTTCGAAATATTTAAAAGATGAAATCGTGCATCAGATATTTATATCGCGATATCAAAAAGGGAGAGATGCCGAAAATTGACTTATTCAGATCAATTCTCCTCGTTTGCATTTTTGCTCTTTTCTACTTTCATACTGGCAAGCGATTTCGTCGACAATGTTAAAATTTCCGTCACGCTTTCATTGATCAAAAATCTTTTATTTAAAGGAAAACATTGTACGACTAAGAATTCTCGCATGCTTCTCTTTTTTTTTTTTTTTTTTTTTTTTTTTTTTATATATATTAAGATATATTTTAATACATACATTTAATACATATTCTTTCGTTTCTATATATTAAATTCTACATACCTATTCAATCAATTACTCAGATTAAATTCCCATACGGTGGCTGTATCATAACCATGATTCTCTTTCCTCACATTCTCGGGCAACGAATATTGCCGCAATAATCTCATTCGCTTCCTAAGATCTTCAGTTAATCCGTGTCTTCCCGGATCTCCTAGATAAATTTGCGCACCTCCTATGTATGCGTGTTCCAACCATGCAATTAGATTGTTTGCTATTTCTTCGTCATATAACAAATCACCGACAAAAATCACATCGTATGGATCTTTCGGTAATTCTTCCAACAGGTTTTTCCACGACACCTCAATGTTTACGTTATTTAATATTGCATTCATTGCAATAGCTACGCAGGCGACTAAAACAAAAGATATATATTCATATTTTATTATGTCATTAATTACACAAAAGGTGTTAATCATATAATTTCCACAATTGCTACTATTAACAATAAATGAAATTGAGTTACGCATATATTTCAAAATATGCGTAACATCTAAATGAAATTAATATTTTTTTAAAATGTATTTTTACTATATATTTTAATGGCTTTTTTTTTAATTATTGAACAATAGCACCTTGCACTAGCAAAAATTGGATGGACAATTTTACATTGTTCAATTATTTAAAACGCAGGTTTTTTTTATCTTGTTATATGACGCCCACGTTGCGACATTCTTTCGCAGGTAACTGACCGTGCCGCGCATACGCAATTATCTTACGATATCCTATATAAGTCTGACTCATACACTTTATCAATAGATGTATTTATGAATACTCACGCCTCATGTTTTTTTATCTGTTATTGACATTGACATTGACTTCATTATTTGATGTTAATATAGGGTCTTTAAAAATTACTACCAAAACTATCGTTCAAAAATTATTATACAAAAATTGAAATTCTTGTTAAGAAATATATTTCAGTTTGTGTGATTATAAAAACTGTTCCTCTAAAATATCGATAATTTCAAAGTAATTTGTAGAATTGTATTTGGAAACGTATTTTTTAATTACGTGTTTTATAATCTTTCATATACAAACATTATTACATATACTCATTTAACGCACAATCAGCAATACGAATAAAATAATAATAATATCAAATTTTACATGATATTATTCAAAAAATTGTTCGAAACGTATATAAATGATATGTTTATCTCACACAAGAATCAGATTGTGAAGCAATCTTTGCTTCTGGATGGCACTAAATGTAAATAGGAGAGAGTGAAATTCCTGGACATTGATCCCAATATGCACTATATTTATGTCATTAGACTTTTGTCGATCGGCGTAATTGACTTTGCTGACAGACATTGGAATGGAAATCGTACGCGTCCTTGTGTAAATACAACGTCCTTGCCTCCATATCGATTTGAACCGAAAGCGTGCCAGATTAATGTGAAATGCTATTCGAGTAATTTTGTTCCGCGAATTTTGAAGTTTGCGCGAGAAATTAATGTTGTCGGAAAGTCCGTTCGTTATGTAACATTTTCGTTGAAGGTTTTCTGTATATAAATAAACGAAAATTTAGCAGAAAATTTTATTAATACGACATGATACGGTATTATATGTATGTCTTTCCTTTTTTCAGAGATCGAATTTCCCAGAAATCGTGTAATTTCCAGAATGTCGTGATTCATAATATTAAAGTTATAGCACTTTATAACGTTCAGATATTATATTATATTATTGTAATTTAAATCTTTGTCTTTAATAAGCACACAATTGTCGAAGACGCATATTGCGCTCCTTAATAATTATATTATAAATTTATCTCTGTAATCTACACATATCTCTTATGAGAAATTAATATTCTTCAACTTTTCTGTTAGGTTACTTAAAAGAATATAGCTTGTCCATTGGTATGCCACGTAAATGCAATACTTGGAATTAACAACCTTTCACTGACGCACGAGGGGCAAACCCTTTCTCCTTATATCTACGTATAAACCTGGAAAAACCGACTTTTAAGTGCCTCGTATTTTAATTTCTCGACCTACTTAATCTTCCGGGGACGTAATTAAGGTGATTTTTCCATCTAGAACAACATCGATCTTTATTAGACAGGCGGAAGAAAGAGGAGATCGTTATCGTTAATTTTTCAAATCCAAATCGCAAAAGAACAATTACAAAGTTCGATTTTAATCTTAAATTCTCTGGCAAAATGAGTGAAAATAATTCTATTGACGTATAATATGTAATAGAAAATTGAAAGATATCAATTGTCACGCTTACGGAATGTCGCGCAAAATATGTAGTTATAACGTTGCATTAAAAATTGATAACTTTTATAATAACTGATGAAAGCTTCGTTCAATCGGTGAAGAAAGACGTACGTGAACCTCGAGAGGGAGGATCTTCGACATAAACGTTGATTGATAGAAACACTCCCGATGACATTAATTCTACATATCACGCGTAATATGGAATGTAAACTTCACTATCAGTATTATTTTGCAATCGTAGGCACGACGAGCACGCGAAAACGATAGAGATGTATGCGCTCGGACGCATTTTTTTTCTGAATCATGCTCGTGGAATCCGATTTCATCTGCCTGTCTGGAATTGTGACAATTTGCTGCTGCGTACAAACATCTGTTTATCGACAGATAAATATACACATGAAGCCACGTGTGACGTCAAAGGGACTCTTGAGTCTTCTTCTCGGAGATCCTCGATCCCTCGTAATTTCCTATAGCTATCGACGTTCTACGTCTCAATAATGTAACTAATAAGACTCGAGTGGGTCTTTCGTCTTTCGTTGCGAGGAAATTACCGTCGACGACTTTTCGGAAAAGAAAAGAATTTCGTAAAATCTTTATAATAACTGGGTAACAAAAGATAAGACATGTGGCTAATACATATCGTAAATAGCTATGAAGCACGGCTTCGACATTTCATCTTTTCTACCTTTTTTCTCTTTGTGTTTTTCTCTTTTGTGAAAGGAATCCCTGACGTTAAAAATTATCTTGCGACGAGAAACCCCGTTGAGGCTCGTCAGTTACACCAATAAATCTATAAGTTTAAAGAATATTGTGCCTATTATATAATAGAAATATATAAGCAACAACTAAATATTAAATAATAAGAATGAAACAAATATATCGTATATATTGCATATATATATATATAAAGTACATACGTAAATATATGTAAAATATGCAAAAATATGTAACAATAATGAGGGAAAAGAAAAAGTCTTCTGATGATTCGCTTGCAGCATCCAGTGTCAAAAATCTAGGGGGGTCCATATATAAAATAGTCTCCTTAACATTACGCCACTGATTTCACCACATTTTCTCATTCTCTCGATCTTGGCCCAAATGACAATCGAGATAATTCGCACATATGTTGTTTCCCCTTCCTTCTTCGCGTTCGATAAACTTTGTCGCGAAGAGCGAAAGTTCTCTTTTCGCTTTTCATCATTTCGAGGAAATGATGAACAAACGCAATATTGCTTCTGCGTCGTATTGCATTATCTGCGACGTTGATACGCATATCTATCCTGCCTCTACGACTTGTCGCAATAGTCTTTCAACAGAGTTTTATAAAAGATTCTTAATCAAACGTGAAATATATGTATAGTAATAATATTTTTAACGATGAATTTCTCTCTAATATTTTTTATAAAATTATTAGAAGCGATGATAGTTATATTTATATATCGTAGAATATCGCAAAATAAGCAATTAAAACGTGGTCTATCAATTTTACATCATTAAAAATATTGCAATGTCATATTTACTGCAGTGTCACAAGTATTGCGACATACATTACTTTTAAGTATCTGAACGTATTTTTTCAGATTATTGGATTTATCTCGTTAGATCTCTCACGTGTGAGGTTTATCTGTGTCTATCTAGGTAACCATGTTACCGGTTAAGATATCATGCAAGGGCATTATAATTTTAATCGATACGAGTGTGCCGAGTATGTACAGAAAATCTCGCATACTACAATTTGGCACTTTGTTTTAATTTTATGTATTTTTTGAATATAATGTAAAATTATATATTTGCTTAACAGAAAATACTGAAACGCTAATAACTTTCAAAGTATAGCTGATAAAAAATCCAGACTCCTATTAATTAATAACTTTTAACTTTTAAGTATTATGTACTAACTTTTGCTGATATCATTCGCAATAATGTTGCAGGTTTCAATCGTTAATTTCGTGGCTATCGCAGTAGCGCCGCATCCCGCACCCAAATCCAGCATTCTTAATGCATCTTTTTTCGCATGCTGCTTTGCACGTCCTAAAATCTTTTTCCTCTCGTCGAGAATGAATCTCGTCAGTGCCTGACCTCCGGGCCAATATATAGACCAAAATGGATCCTGGAATACGTTTGTGGTCGAGAGATCGAATCTGTTATTCTCACATTTGTCGATGAAGGGCTCGCGATATAAGGGACAATTCTTCGTCAACAGAAATAACTTCAATTCCGGAGTCAGATGATCGCGAGTGATCTCGGTATTTTTCAAGATCGCGTTTACCACATCAGGATGTTCCTCAATGAATTTTCTAAGCAATGTTTTGTGGTTATTACGCGGGATGTTGTTCCATGTCTCCTTTGTGCTTTTTGAAAATTTTTGTGCGAAGAGATTTTTTTTCAAACACACGATTTTTCTGATAAGCATCGCCATCCTCAAAATCTGGAAAGAGATGTTAATTATATAATAGTTTCGTTCATATAGCCGCACGTGCGGCGCTCTATCGAGGTAGTCTAAAAATATATTTATCTAATTGTAAAAATTAAATTTATTATTTATTTTACCACGGTGTATTATAAAGATGGAGAGATATAATCATACTATTGATTCCTTCCGTTTTCCAATGAAGACTCTGATAAGCAATTATTTTCCAAGAAGCGTATATCGCAATAATGATAAGTTCATGTCTTATTTTATAATCTACGATAAGATTATTGATTGGCTACCTTATCATGTCTGTCTTGAGAATCGCAAGTGCACATAGAGAAAATATTTTGTTCATCATTTATTTATTTCAGAAACAGTGCCATTTTTTCATTCTGATAATTTTCCAATATTTTATTATTATCATAAGGCATTGAGAGCATTTTTGAAATGCCGTTAAACGTTTTTTTTCGTTTAATTCCAATAGGTATATCAGTTGGGTTAAGTTATAGTTATTTCCCGGAGAATTTACATTTATGCAAACGGCATTCGTAAGTTATAAAAAAAATAAAAAAAAAATGATTGCAGATACATAATTAGATGACTTTATTATATATTTTATTTCTGTGAAACAGATTTTGTTTAAGTTTTGAAAAACTAAAAATATTATCTTATGTATGGCTTAACAGAATATGTTTAAAATACATCATATTTGTAACTTCACCTTGTTGATAATCATCGGTATATTTTTTTGTTATCCGTTGCAACGAATTAATTAATGAATTGACTTTGAACGGTCGATTATCTGAGCAGCTGCGGGATATATTTAACTTCTTTTACGGAGAATGGACTTTAATGCGAAAGGACTTCGAAGGTGACAGTCTGTGTACCAGACGCCCTGGGATTTCCCCAACGATCTCTCCGTTACAATGTATCCCCTGTATTATGTTGACAATTACGAGAAAACATCTGCGAGGTTCTTGACCGAACAAACGTTTAATGCTTTTAATAAGTTTAAGCAAATTAAATAGCAACGATACACTTTAAATAAAGCATTTGACTTTGAAAATTAGGTATTTAACTTTACAGGAATAAATTTCTCTTTCAATTTATCTCAATTTGTTTATTTTTTAATCGGCTTTAAGAATGTCTCTCTCCCAACGGATGTAATTTTTCTTGTTTTATCACCGAAATAAGTGCACTCGTTACGCAATACACTTTATACGTACGTTTGAATAACAATGTTAGCAGATTTGTTTTGTTATATCCATTATAAAAAGGATCTATGTAACAAATATGATTACGAAGGCAAGCTTTAATTAATAGCTTATTATAAGCTTTGAATTTCTATGATTTATATAGCAAAATAGAACATGTGGAATTTATGTAATCGTTCCTTCGGAATTGTTATCACTATATAAATAGAATTCTATTTAACATTTGATATTATTCCATCGCATAACATCAATATCATATTATAATATTATTTTTCATATTTCTTTCTTTTTTAACCACTTAAAATTATCGATATTTTTAGAATTATTATGTTTCATTTGTGTTATTCTTACAGTATTAATACGAAACTTTTTCTACTCTAGAAATTATTTTATTATGCAAATAATTATCAAACTAATTTTAAAAGTTTCGTTTTTTATTCTATAACTAATTATTTTATTTTGATCACATTATTAATTTTTAGGCAAAAGTGGAACTATGCGTCATAGAATTAATAAATGCCGTTTGGCACACTTATCAGAGGGTCCTCTACTGAATCCGTATCTTCCACAGTGGGTTTTATAAGCTTTCTCGTTATCGCAGAAATTGCACAGCTGATGAAACACATTGGAATAAAGCATCTGTGACTTGCATCATCTTCACAGGGTATATATATACAGTTACTGTAACGCGAATATACGTATAATCGATCGAGTGTTACGCATGGGCGCAGATCGTAGTTTGTCTGCTAAAATGAAGTTTATTGACCCACATAGTCGCGATGGTCGATCAACGTGGCTCTTCCTGATCAAGTGCTTGCGAATGATGAAACAGAACATTGATACCAGGCACATGTATGATGCAACTTGCAAGAAAGAATCTTTATAAGTATTTTATGTTCTCTCTTACAATTAATTTTTTTAACATATAAAATAGTACAAAAAGAGATATTGTTCTCTTTCTTAAATAAAAATCAAACACTAATGAAGAAATATTTGGCGAAAAAATGTTCTCATCAAAAGATCTTCTAATTTTATTTTATATCTCTATTATATTTCTTTTCAAAAATTCTATCTTAAGAAGGAATTTTCTTTTTCAGAAAAAAATGACTTAAGACTGCTTATGTTTATATAATCTATTTTTAGATCAAACAAAAATCTGCATTACTAATAATATGTATACGTTTTTCATGTCTTTTTCTCAAACACGAGATTAAAGAAACAAGAGCGATTAGATTTTAAAAATATATTAAAAACGTATTTATTTTCAGATTTTGGCTCTTGCAGTGAGCGTTTCAGTTGTCAATGAACTTTGTTAGAAAACGCAATGTCATCATAATCTACGGATAACACTCGTACGTATTGTAGATCGAAGAAGTTGGATATGACAATGCGAGATCGCTAAATAATTATATAAATTGATATAACATGTGACCTCGATCTGTGAACGCCGTTTCTCGCCGTCGATGGAAATTTGTTTGCACTGCTACTAAGTAATTATGTTTCCTTACAGAACTGGTTCTCGGTAAATTCCAATAAAATTTTCTTTCCGCTGGGAATTTAACAAATGATCTATGAAATTATTTTAAAATCTGCCACTTAGACATAATTTTTTTATTAGCGCTTTAAAAAGAGATCTCATTATTGACGAATATTTATTACTCGGTGAGTCGTTGGAATTAACAACAGTATTTTGCACGAATAACGAGAATAGAATCAAAATCGTGAAATAAAAAATGATGCTAATTCATTAACTCTGAAGAATTTAATAAAGTTGTTTGTTATGCTCTGATTTTATTTATTTATTGATCAATATATATTAATATCGAAAATTGCTGAAAAAATTGGGATAATGTTCATCGAGATTCTATATATAAAAAATTATTCTTCAATTAAATATATTAGAAAGGAGACCATGATATATATATCATGGTCTCCTTTCTAATATATTTAATTGAAGAATAATTTTTTAATTGTGTACAGAGAAATACAACGACAAAGAAGTTTATACGATAATTTTTCTCCTAATTGTAAGCTTACCTTGAACTTATATTTAACCAATGTTTCACCGAATCGCTTAAAAAATATATATGCAAAAGTTTATAGTTATTTATCGATCAGCATGCGATTAATATAATACTTTAGTGGCGTTAGAATGAATCATACAGTACGAGATCCTCCACGAGTCAGTATTTCCATATCAACAATATTTATCCTTTTTACTTCTTATCTAAAAATTCTTTGCCAGATAAAATTATTCGTTTGATCTCTCTCAATAATCAGATATCGATTTTAGATATTCAACTTTATTGTCTGGTGATACACAATATCTGTAACATATATATGTGTCTTCTCCTGACACGATTTTCACACAGATCTTACAACCTATTACTCAGTTTGTCAATTTCATAGAGATATCGATTGTATTATTTTTTAACTCAAATTGTTTACTCATTCCTTTGTATTTTTGTTTTTTAGAAAAAATACCAAGTTCTCGAAAAATCTATGTGTGTGTTCGAGGAAAAAAAATCATCATCCTATTCTCTCCGGGAAACTCAGTATATAGGGTCTAATTCAGTTAATGTTTCTTTTATTCGAGTTTTTTTTCTCGGGTTTCCCGGTACAGCGACAGTGTATTCGGAATATCCGTAGTATAATCTGGTACAGACATGGGTGACAAAGTGGTAGGGGAACGGTTGCTATAAAAGGTGCGCGCGCCAGACTGTGTGAGGTCATACGCAGTCAGAACCTTGTGGAAGAAATACGAGAGAGCTCTATTACGCTCGAAGAAGACGTTGCGCGAATTTGCATCAGAATATAAAGTCGAGTGAAAGCGGAGAAAGAGACAGCCGCCAGTGATTCAGTGGAGAAGTTAAAGCTATAAAAGTTAGTCGTATTTTCAACAGCGTTGAAAATAATTCGTTCAACGGCCGCCAACAAGGTCACAAAAATTTCTACATTCAGTGAAGTGTGCAAAAGAGGCGCCTTGAGGATTAAACTATCAAACGAGCAAGAAAAGAAGTTACTGACCGATATGACTCGCTGCCAGGAACCACAATCCCATCACGCACAAACCACAATGGCCGACAGGTAGTTATCGAAAGAGGGTACAGGGGATTTCCACGTGGCTCTCAAACAATACCCTCGAAACATGCACGCGAACGATGGGTTGCGCGATAGCCGTGGTTCTCTCTCGATGATAAAAAGTGATAAAGAAATGCTTGGTCACGCCATTAACGAATGATTTTTTATTTCTCTACAAATCGAGATTTCGCATTGTGCAATCGAAAGCTTGCGCTTATGACATTACATTGCACATTTTCGTATCTCTTCGATATCTTTGATAGAAATTATTATATCTAAGGAATAATCCAAGACTTGCAAAAAAATATTGTAGATTTTTTTTTTTATTATTATTATGTTATTTTTATGTAGAAAATTTTAACATTGTAGGAATTATTATCCGAGGCAATTCAAAAATACAAAAGAATGTTAGAATGTCACGCCTCTTTGATGATGTATAAGCGCATAAATTAATATTCACTGCGTCATAGCGATTCGCGAAATTCCAAGCATCGTTTTACACTGTATCGCGCCGGCTTATATAACAATGTCACGCGCAGATGATTGATCAAAGATGACTTACAGCGGAAAATCGTCATGGTGCGAGGAGTCGCGCTACTACGGACGCACCATTACGTGCGGCATGTTGCCGACCCTACGCGAGCTGGCTTCCAGAGGATGCAATAGTCGGGGGAGCGTTTGCCTCGTGCCTTTCAACATCGAGATGGACGCGGCCAGTCACCTTCAAATGACACTTCTCGAGGCTTATTGCCGGGAGATCGAGATCGAGGTGTTGAGCGTGCCCAAAGAAGTAATACAGGCCCATCTGTGTCCAGGAGGCACGGATCTGTCGTGCGTCCTCGTAACCAACGACGATCCATTTTTCATACCAAAGTTACCAAAATGAAACTCAAAGACTCATTTTTGAGAGAATTGAAATTTAAGGACCGAATTGCGTACGGTCTTTTACCGAAGAACGGTCTCTATATCGGGGAGATCTGCATAAGAAGACAAAGGAGGAAGCTTTGTTTTGGCATGCAATGTGTCCTACGTGTCTCACCAGCGACGGTGCTGATAATGGACATTTTATATTGTAAACAGCGAGACATATTCAATTTATGTCGCTATTAAGTCTGTTCTTTTCTGCCTGTTTTGAAAACATGTTCTTTCAATCTTCCCCTTTCTCTCTTTTTTCTGCGACGCTCGATTATTTGTTTCTACTTGAGAGCGAAAGGTGTGAGACAAGATAGCTGAAAAGAGCAGACTCATTATTGTTAGAACAAGAATTATGATCTTATATCAAGCGAGTGATACTTCTCTCGGAATCATTCGATGATTGCTGGATAAGAAATATTGATTAACGTATGTAATATGTATATTTTTCAATGTACAGCTCAGTGTAAAGTTTGTCGCGAGACAAACTAATCTTTGTTGCGTATGCTTTGTAAAAATCGACAACCAAAGCGTTGTCGAATGAAAGAATTTATATAATACCATCTCATTGATAATAAGATTATATAATATTTTAATAAAATACAAAAGGGTTTCTTACTTTCCTTCTTCCTTGTATCTATCCATTATATCTTATTCTATTATACCATTTTCGATCTTGTGATCGATTTCATTTAATTTATTCAAACTTTTTCTCGTAGCTTGCAAAATACTTAAGGAACTCCAGTATCACTTTCATGGAGGAATTAAAAATTCTGAACGTGACGTGAGTAGGTACAAATTCAAGGATGAAAAAGTACAGTCATATGCGGATAAAACGGATTGCGTTCCAAATGATTTTTTGATATATGATTCTTTGAAATTATTTATTACTTGCCGTGGATTTTAAAATATATCTTATTCCAAGACAATCAGAATATTATTGTACTTTGTATGAGAAAGATCGCTATAAAAAAGTCATTTTGCTGTATGCTGTTTTCTTCAACAGACCTACGGCCGAAGTTACGTTTCACTTCTTCGGAAATTCCGACGATGGGGATAAAATTCGCGAATCTCTCAATCGACTCGTACAACGTCGACGTCTCAGCGAAATCTCATTGGAATCCACACACTTTACATTTCAACAAAAACCCGCGCTTAAATTACAGGTACGAATGTACGTAACATAATGCATGGATAACATATTGCGCGATATTTCAATATTATCATGACATCAAGACATCCTGTTTGTATAAACATTATGCGATTAAAATTATACGAGATTGAAAATTGAGTTCCGACTGACAACGTGTCGGGTTCGGACGTGTTTTTGCGTGCTGCGTATGTCCTTTGTCTGGACCTTTTTTTGGACTCCCTCCTCTCTTAGAGGAGTTTTGCTTATATTCTACAAACCCATAAGAAACAATGGTGTATGGGCGACTAATGCCCAACCAGCCATAAAAGAAAGAAAGAAAAGAAAACGAGATTGAAAAATTATTCTCTACATCTCTTACTAATTTTTCTAAAACAGAAGATTAATAATAAATCTCAGTTTATACGCAGTAACTAACATTTTCGTGAATGCGATTAATTTTCTGCACGATTAAAAGTTATTGAAAAATTATTGCTTTTTAGAATCTGAGAATTAATCAAGTGAACGATTACGAGATTCATTTGGGAGAGCAAATCGTTTTATCGTGCGCGGCTCAAGGAAGTATAAATTTTACTTGGTACAAAGATGGCATGTTGGTGAACACGAGCAAAGCTACCAGGTAACTGGAATATATTACAATAAAATACGTATAATTCATCCTCTTTTTATTTATCCTAGATTTTTTTTAATTCATAAATACCGATTGCTTTGACGTTTTAGAGAAATATGCATTAGCGATTTGCCGAATGACGGATCGGACGTGTATACGTCGGTGTTGACGATCGAGAAAGCCACTCTGCTCGATGCTGGTCAGTATACGTGTCAGGTGACGGATTGGAGTGTGCAGCAATGCAAAAGTATCTATGTCGAAATCAGAGACGAACCGGACGTGAAGGTGGTACCGATGAGCGCCACTATAGAAAAAGTAAGCCCCTATTTGTGCCTTTGTCAATGCATGGGAAATTAAAATTTCGAAGAAGACATATATTATACAGATGATTGTTCGTGCAGGGTAGTAATATACAACTGACATGTATGACTCCTAACATGCGTAACATTGGCATCGGATTCGGTTGGACTAAGAATCGCGCCTTGTTAAAATTGGAGCCCGGTCAAGCAGTTTGGGAGGATTTGTATCCAGCGGGTAGCATATTAAAGGTTACTAATATTCAGGTAAAGAATATCAATAGTAACTCTATAAGATATTTAAAAATTTTCGTTTTTTTTTTTTTTTTTTTTTTTTTTTTTAAGGTTTATAATATAAATGCTATTTATATGAAAAATGCCAAGTTATAAAAATCTTGACTATTATATCCCCTTAATTCTCTATATTGCTTTGGTGATTCGTAGAGATCAGAACGATCGTTTGACATTCCAGAAATCCGCAATCTACACCTGCAACGTAGCACACAAATCCATGTCCGTCCGAGTTGAAGTCATGAATCGAACATTGATACCGATATGTCTCAACGGAGAATCCTGGGGTTTGCAATGGCCGGTCACTGCACCGGGATCGGAGGCATTGTTGGAATGCCCTCCATATTTCGTAGGTCGACGAGTGTCCAGACTGTGCTCGATGAAGGACGCTACCACACCCGAATGGCAAATGCCGGATTTCTCATCCTGCTTGTACGAGGCATTGCTTTTACCCTACAATAACGTAAGCATTTTGTTTTTTAGAACACTTTACAATCTATTATCGACTTGTAATTTACGAGGAGTCACAATAATTCGTTAGACTCAAATATAGATCGTAATACTTAAACGTGATGAGACAAAGCGATCGATCAAAGTACAAAAGTTAAGAGACATAATAATATTTTTTTATATTTATCTCATTTATATTGTATATTAAAATTATGTTCCAATATTTATTTTTTATAATGCACTATTCTTAAAAGTTTATAAAAATAGCATTGTGGTTTAATATAAAATAAAACAAAATTAATCAAACATACTAGTTTTTTTTTTTTTTTTTTTTTTAACTTAACTTTTAATTTATTTAATTGATTTGACTTTCCATAATTGATGAAAGACGTTCAATTTGGTACCCAGGCAGCATATCCAGTATTGTGAAATCAATAATCTAATTCGTAGTTTCGAAGTCTGATGTTGGGTTACCAAAATACCACGAGCTCAGACACGATCCTCGCCTTTTGGGAGATCTTGCGCAAGCGTACATTGACGCTCTATCCTGGCGAAGGCGATCGCATAATGAGCATGTTGGCGGAAATCGAACGGTATCAGCACAGCATCGATCCGTCGGATGCATATATCTCCGCGGAAGCTTTGACTCGTATAACGAATCGCATATTGAGTAACGAGCACTCGATCTTGAGTCAAAAGGTAAAGACGACCGAGATACCATGTCAAAGCAAGAAATAGTTTCGAATAATAGATTTAAATAAGGTTCTTTTTTTTTTTCAATTTCAAACGAACATTTTTCTCGAACGAAAGTTTTGTGCTGACTGCAAAATTCATTATGATATAATCTTCTCCGAAAAATAGCAGTTATCAGGAACTCGTACGAAAAATATTTTTATTAAAAAAAAATGTGTTCCAAATTATTCTCTTCTCTCCTGTCTATTGCGAATTCGGTTTCATTAAGTTACAAGCTTCTATATGTTTATTCTCAGAAATTATCGGTGCTGCTTCAGCTTACGCAACGCAATTTAATTCACTGGTCCGAACAATTGAGAGATGTGTGCAAACACCTACCCCTATCATCTATGGTTGTGGATATTCAACAACTGCAGTCTCATAGCGGGGATAGTATTACGCATTCTCTTCACGTACCTTTGACCGATTACGTGTAATTATTCCATATGTTTTCAGATCATATCTATTTTATTATTTTTCTTCCGATAGGATTTTTGTCCTGAGAGTAATATATTCTTTTGCCTACATCCTATCTATATATAAGAATATATTTATGTATCAATATTTACATTTTCCTTGCACAAATAATCTCTTATTCATGCCAGATATCCTGATTGGTACGAGGACAAAATAACTATACGATTATGGACCAAAAGGCAGCGCAATATAAAGTCTAACAGCACATTTACTGGAATCATTATCATGTACAAAAATATGTCGCATTTTATACCAAGAGCATACGTTAAGGAACTCGAGTAAGTTGATTTATTTGCGAAAGATTGAACGGTTCATCTGCGAGAATGATCTAATCCACTTTTTTGTGAATTTTTGTTATAAACTGAAATAAATTTTATGAAAAAATTATTTAAACCGATTATAAAGAGATAAATTGAATAAATAAAAATTAAAACCGAATAAAATTTTTGCAAATATAAAATTAATTTCTTCAGATTGTTAAAAAAAAATACATAATAAAATACGAAAAACCATTTTATCGTCATAGCGATGGCACGGATTTAGAATTTCGCATAAACTCCCGAATGATCACCATCGCGATTCCCTCCTTCGGCGCTGATAAACACAACAAGATCTGGGTTGATCTGAAAATCCGACATTTACGAAATCAAACGGGTTCCTGGAACACGTCGTGCGGCCTAATGGATAACACAGGATCGTGGGATCTCAATACTTGCATAGCAAATACAGTATCCGGCGATGTAACAACGCATTGTCTGTGCCCTACTATGGGTACCATTGCTGTTTTCTCGACGACTCGTGCAATAAAAGTATGATTTCAATTTAAAGAAATTTCACGTTATTTTGTGTTTTTATTTCATATTTAGCACATATATATGTATATTTCATTGAAATCCTGTAATTAAACAGCTTATTTCCAAATCATTCTAAATCTTTATTTAAAAAAAAATGAAAATTGCATGTCGTAAAGTTTACCATAGCAAATAAAAAAAAATATATTTTTACCATTGTTTATTACTAATTTTATCGGCCGTTATAGGTAGTATTAGCAAAAACGGAGCAGACCACGTTCATTATAATATTCGGATGCAGCAGCTGCCTTGTTCAGTGCTTGCTATCTGCCCTGATATTAGGTACCTTTTGGTGGAAGCACAAAAGCTGGTTAAATTTCTTAAAACTTCAGTGCTGCGGTGCATTAATCGGCGCGATGGCAATCTTCATTTATGCCGTCCACACTAATCTCCCAGAAGTAATTATATCCTTGTTAAGAACTAATGTGTAATTTGTCCATGTTAAATAGTATGATGAAATGAGCCTTACAAATTATATCAACTTATGTTATAGTTTCTGTAAATTATTTTAATATAGACACTTTGTTTTGGATACAATTTCGTATTTAAAGATCTTACAAATTTGATCGATTCGAAGCTTAAACATCTTCATTAATGCTTTCTTACGTGTTTCAGTCATTTTATTCGCTCGTAGCGATCGGACTAGAAGCATTTCTCCTCGTGGGTATGTCCGCACCTATTTCCGAGGCTCTGATAGTATATGCCGAACTCACGCAGATTCGACCGAGTCAGCATCTTCAGCCGACAGTAATCGCCGTGATAACCGGTACGTACATTTAAATAGATCGTTTCGCGTGTAAAATATCTTGCCAGACATCATTTATAGCCGCATGTATCTACCTTAGGTGTCCCGATCTTGGCTGTATTCGCGACCGAGCTAACACATAAGAGTACTGGATGGCGACATGAATCCTGGTGGCTCATATATGGCAGTGGCGTCTACAACATATTTGTCAGCTGCGCCACGATGATGTTTTTAGTATTCATGCTATTGTACATGGGGGTGCTCCACAAAGTTCACACATTAGTGGAGGAGAACGTGATGAAGAGAGAAGCTATAGAAACGAGGTATATGTGCAAAAATCTCTATAAGGTTTGTAATAAGAGTTGCGTGATTCTTTCATAAAGCACCGACTTTTCTTATTACAGAATACGAATATTGCATCGTGCGGCTATCGTTATATGCGGCATCATTGCCATGGAGGCATCCTCTATTTTCTATATAAATTCATCGTCCATAATCTTCCACTACGTATTCGCGTCCTTATCGTTTGCCCTGGTAAGTTTCACAACTCGCGGTAATTGTATTTTCAAATAGTAGATATGTTAAAATTATTCGCTAATGTTGTTGCACAGGGTTTCAAGATAATAATTGTATACATCATTAATGGCGAGATCGCTATCATTGGGCCAATGTTGCGAAGAATTAGATGGAAACGCAACGTGGACGAGGAACACATGTCAGAGCCCATCAAAGGTATCATGATATGAGCTTATTCATTTATGATGCTTCATACTGTATGTATTATGACATTAGAAACGAGGCAATTTTTTGACAAAATATTTAAAAAACACATGTATTGTACAAAAATATTAATACTCTTACCGCATTACGTCCGTTAGTGTGCTCGAAAGCTGATGCAGATGTGGAGAATGATTCGGCGATTCCTCCAGCATCCTCTTCGATCGTTGGCGAGATACCGTACCGGGAGGTGCGAGGTGTCGCCGCGGGTAGCATAGATATGCGCGATTTTATGAGTTCCGAATCGTCGTCCGGATACGCCAATTCCGTCCCCGTTCCCGTGACCGGTAGATTCCTGCCAGAGATTCGAGTGGACCATTCGGACGACATCGATCTGGAAAACTACAGTACAAGTCCGCGCAAATACCAGGAACCACCGACTGTGTTCGTCGATCCGAACTTTTCTGCGCGCGGTTCTCGTTGCGTCAACGACGTGGTGGCCTACAGTGGCGTCAACGATCATTGTAGCTTCCGTAACGAGTATCGCGGCGACGGTAAGATTTTTCTGCCGGTGGCGAGCGTGTCCCCCGAATGCCCTTCGGCTAAGGTACTCTGTAGCGCCGATGTGGAATCGCGATTGGGCGCCATGCCGGACGTCACATTGGCCGTGAAGAGCGACGTCGAATTGTCATCGCGGACGAACGCGGAGCTGAAGAACCGAGAGCACGTGGCGAGCGCCATCCCGGATATCGCCAATACGAGCGAACGTAAGCAGCCCGACGGCGAGGAAAAGACACCGGAAATCGTGGTGACCGCGATAGCTGGTGGCTGCGATAGCACGACCAGCGGTATGCTGGATCGTATCTCTCACGATCTCGACTATTTGCTTAATCGCACGCACGCGAAAGAGGGAGCTTGAAGATTGACTGAGTGAGTGAGATTGCGAGAAAGTGAGGAATGTATGACAAGTAAACAATTGTAGATTGTTAAATTTGTACAAAACAGATTTCGTCTCACAATATTTCCATATATGGATAAAGTAATCGTAATTTATGTCGCAGTGTAAAGTGTAGTTTATTTATGAGGTAATATTCAAAAACTGATATTGTGTTTGTCGCTATGTAAGACTAGACGTGTGACACACGTATAATACGTTATAACGTATACATGATCGTATGTACTTGGAAGTTATAAATCAAGGTTTAACATACACCGTCTTTTTTTTTATTTCTTAGCCTAGCGTATCTGTGCACACGCCAGACTGATCGTAATGTGATCGCTGATTGTGAATTGGCAATAGTCGTAAGAGAAAAGTGCGAAAAGTGATTATCATCGCATTCCATCAATCAGAATCAAATATAATCTCAAACTTTTCGTGCTTCATTTATATTTACGTCCATTGTATGTCGTGTGAGGAGGACTTATCGTATCTCCTCCAATAAACGAATATAACAATCAAAAGTACAGTGTACTGCATAAGGTTTCGCGCGATTCTCTCGCGCATAGGACATACGATTTTCAAAAGAGATGAGGTAAGCCAAGTAATAATACTTTCGAGTTAAAGTATTTATTTATCACTGTCATCGTACAGCCCTTTCATAATATCCACGAGTCAGTCGTCGCGTTTTTTTTTTTTTTTTTTTTTTTTTTTTTTTTTTTTTTTTTTTTTTTTTTTTTTTTTTTTTTTTTTTTTTTTTTTTTTTTTTTTTTTTTTTTTTTTTTTTTTTTTTTTTTTTTTTTTCTTCCGTCGTTTATAATTTGTATTATAAAGCTATACACATTCAATTTAGTTTGATAATCTACTTACATACTTAAGATCGAAGTTTATGTTGTTGTAGGTAGGTAGCAGATACCTCTAGTTAGGGTTAGTCGTTTACTTAACGAAAAATGCTTTACTGAAAATTGATTCGACCGAGGTAAGAAATTGGAGCGGTATCTCTTGGCCAAGCACGTGTTATAAATGCAAAAGACATAATAAGATCTGTGTTAGTCTGTTAGCATTCAAATATACCTATATGACTAGTTTTTTTTCTGCGTCTCAACAGATTTTTCTTAAAAATATAAAATATTTACAAGGATTTTTCAGCTAATTTTATCGAGATTTAATAAACCTTGGTTTAATCACATCAATAATACCCAAGTATAGAGTAGAGCCGTGGCTTTATCCGATTACTGCCAAATTACACTATTGAGCCAGTGTGTATATTCACATCGTATAATCTTACCTATAAAACTAAAAATATGGTAAATGAACGAGCACGTTACTGTACTTTCTTTCTCGCGAACGCTTGTATGTATGTGTTCGCTCACTTTTAGACAGACTTTACAATAGACTGAGTATTTTGGCGAAAGTAATAAGAGTGGTGAGAGATCGAAATTCATCCGAAAAAAACCGAGCATACATCCATAATACCTTTTTAAAATATTAAAATAAATTTTATAACAGCTGTACAATGAAGAGATAGTTTTGTACGCATGATTAAATTGATTCTTTTCTTAATTCTTGTATCAGGAAATAAATTTTATGATATACATATGTTCATTTTGAAAAGCAGGATATAGAATTTCGGCGGATATTAATTTTCACCTTTCGCAATTCTATAAGAGACATTATGAAAAACACGCGATACGTAATAAACGTTCGTAACTCTATACTTTGATAGATTAAATTACGACAGATAAGTATCAAATCGTACGTAGCTTCGTGTAAATATGAATCAATATATCCAGCAGGCCTCTAACTATTCTCTTAATTATACAATCACAAGTATTTGGTCTTTTTACATTAGATTCATACACCCTTTGTCAATTTATCTCGTATATCTATATAACGATATAACAGGTCAAAACCTGTATAACGTAAAAACTCTAGACATATAGAGAGACAACGAAATTTGACAACAAAGCTATTACTTTGATGGCTTAAAAAGATGAAAGTAAATACCTAAGCAGTTCCTAATTTGCAGTCAGCTTTAGCTTAGAGTAGTTTAGCCACGGCACCCTCTCACCTTTACGTTCACTTCTCTCTCCCCTTTCTGTTTACTTAAATATAAAAATACATAGCCAGTCTATACATAAAGCGTGCAAAGTGGCACAGTGAACTGAGTTATCAGATGTTATCCTGGATGGTTAACTGCCGCTCTCGCTGATTGTCGGCGGTTCTGCATCATCGTGAAGTTTATTCGTTTTGTTACTTGACACAGATATACCTGAGGTTTTTGGCAGCAGGTTAGTTGCACTATCACTATTGGATGTTGTGGCGTTGCACACAGAATTGTCAAAGTGTTGCAGACATGGAAATTCCGAACCGGGCAGCAATAAAGTAGTTTGAGTAGGAAGATTAGTTAACGATACCATTCCTGGTGTCACCATTTGCTTGTTGAAGTATCTCCTCAATGCTTCTTCGATTAAATTGGCTATTTTATCACGATCGTTCTGCAACAGTCATGCAACATATTGCGCAAAGTTGCTTATAGAGCCGAAACTCGAACGATAATACAAACAAGAGACAATTTACCTCATTAATAAACCCAAAATGTACAAGTTCCTGTGCAAGAAGCATTGAAGTATCCGTTTGGCTCACAGGACACGTCAATTGCCTATTCATCTTGTCATCCATTCGTAACAATATTGTCATCTGCAAAATGTATTGATTTAAGATATACGAGACCGCCATTTATATATAGATTATCTCGCATGCTAAAATACTTCATGCATGCCACTCACAAGTAATTCACTACTATCTTCTCTAGGCTTAACATTACACATCATATTAACTACTCTTCGAGACTCCACGTCCACGGGCTCGGGCGTAACCGATTTAACCGATTCTGTCACTTCGGGCGATATCGCCCTCGGTCGGACAGGCGGAGGCAATTTCGCCATAAATGCAGTCAATGGATATATTCCATACCTGGCAATGTAAAATCACTCTAGTTACCAACTTATCGAATATAGCAAGAGACCGGACCGATGTATCTCATCTCATGTGTGATTGAGTTACTCACTTTACATCTTCAACAAATTTTTCTAATTTTTCCGTAACCGGAATATCACTTAAACGAATTTGTTGCGGGGACATCCCTTGATACTTTACTTCGGCAACTACGGTATCTGGTCCATATAGCCTTTGTAACACTTCGTCTGTGATTGTTTCCGAAATGTTAGCTATAAAAAAAAATCAACATTAGATATGATTTATAATTGTAATCATCACTCTTAAGTCTCATATAATCATAATTATTTTAGCTCTAGGGAAATAACAAATTATTAAATATCAGCATGTAAAGTATAAAATTGCTCTTCAATTTACTAGCTGAGTTGACCAAGGCATGTGCTGCAAGCAACTTGAGAGAATGTACTTCGAATAGAAGGGGATGAAACAGCAACTCTTTTGCACTCGGTCTACTAAGCGGGTCCACCTGAAGACATTTACGAATAAAGTCTTTTTGTTGAACATCATCTAAAGATTCTATTGTCTTCCAGATGTTCTCTTCGGTAACGATTGTACCCGTATCACCGTTTCCCTGAATTTCCAGCGCGGCCATTTCCAAAGCGCACATCCCGAACGAATAGATATCGATGGCTGGTGTGACGGAATCTTAAAGAGAGACAATAAAAGCTTAAATATATAATCTGCATATAAACTCGAGATATAGACAATACACTTACTTCCATATTCTGGAGCTACAAAATGTATATTCTTCATATTCGTCCTACAAGTCTTGATGTGATGATGAATTGCATCTGGAGCCACTGTAATTAGAAAGAGATTATTGCCATTTTTATAAACTGCTTCATTTCAAGCTAAACATCAACATAAAAATGACATATTAATGTGAACGTATTCAATAATGTGTTAGAAAATTTTGTAGGACAGCCATCAGACAGAATTGTATATGTTCTAGCAATTAATCAAATATGTTTTAGAGATACATATTTGTTACACATTCTGTATGTTTGTTGCCTACATCGAGATGAATGAAACCACTCTAGAAAAATTGTGTTTCTGCTAAAAATTTATCCTAAGAGTAACTTGAGCCCTCGTAATCAATAGTAATTCTCGCATATACACATATGTGAAAATGCCTCTGAAAAGAGAAGTATGTTTCTTTTTTTTATACAAATTAATAATTTCGGAAATTTTTTTTTTTTTTTTTTTTTTTTTTTTTTTTTTTGTGAAAAAATTTACAAATAAAACACATAAATGGTTATTTTGTTGAAATAGTAACTTTATATGTTTTATTGTTGATTACAGTTCTGCTATAGAGGCATCTTCACCAAATAAGTATAAATATTGGGAGCGGAAAGCTTTGAGGAACCCTTTTTAATCGGGGATTACAGGATACATAAACAAAAAAAAAATATATATATATATATATATATTGCACCTTGTATTCCTCGTTTGTTAACATCTTTATCCATTTGTCGAGTTTAATTTTTCTCGATAACACATATATAATTAAAATACAATGAAAATGCGTGCGCTAGATGATTGTGGATTGTGAGAAGGACAAAGAGATACTTTGCCCTCTTTATAGTTAAATACAATTAATAACCAGAAGAATAAATAATGCAACATAGTGCACTCTAATGAAAAAATTAAAATAAATTTTAATTACTTGTATATTTAATGCGCAAAAGTACTTATATAATTAATATAGTAGTTGTTTACCTCTTTATGCCTAATTTACTTAGCTAGCATTAGGTGATGATAATCTGCCAAATGAGATTTTTTTCTTGAATATTCACCACCTTTGACAATAACACCAATTGAAGGACACCGACGTTGATGGATTTATCCTCTGGATGGGCGAAAGTACGATTTGTACTTCCTCTCTCTTCAAAGGCTTTGCTGTGTTTTTTTCATTATCTAGATTAGCCTATTTGCTACAATTAAAAATGAGGACTCAAGTTACT